ATTATTTACAAATTTCGAAAGAAAAGGTTACAAGTCAATTTTTGTAGCCTAGAAACAATATATTATATTCAATTCACGAAGATTGTCAATAGTATTAATTACCGGTAGGAAATTAATATAATTGACATTGTCGAGTGAACGAATTTTCTTTCTTTCGTATTTGCAGCGCGTATATTTTTAGAATACGAAAGTCGGAGGTGATGTAATTTGAAAAACTGATTTCATCAACAACTGTGGCGTACAATTTAAACTGTTGTGAATACGCAGAGAAAACTAACTGCAGCCGTTTTACATCTTTTTATCTGCTACTCTCTTTTTACTAGTTATAACTCCGAGCCTAACAGCTGTAGTTCGAAGATTACAGTAAAGGAATAGTAACGGGCTTCGAGACCGTTACATCGGGGTACCCGCATTCCTTGTAGATGCTGAAGTCTACAGAGACCTTCCTAAAAACCACAGTTACAAGACATTGAAGTTATATAATTTTGATTAGTTTAGTTGATTGGCGCGTATGCCAGTCAAAACCATGTCATTAATGAAAGCTTCAACAGTTTTAGTGGAAAACTAACGCTTTTCGGTGCCATTTTATTGTGAGTCTATCAAAGCGCGTATTTAAACAAACTTCGCCTTTCCTAAAATAACACTCGTCAGCAATATTTCATTTGGAAGAGATGGTGTACTCGTACACCGGTCGCTGGAAGTAGGGAAAGGCAAGATGATACCATGGAGTGCTTTGAACCGTCCAAAAAAAGTTAGTAAAAATGGTCGTTTTCGCAATCAAGATCACTACTTCGACTGGTTCTTTTTCGGCGATGATCGAGATAATGAATTTCTCTTAAGGCCATGCCCTCACTAAGAAATTGTGATTTTCTGTCAAAAAATTGGTTTTGAGATAAGCACATGCAAAGGTAGCTTGAAGTGTCTGCTTTCAGAATCTGTATCGTGTTTGGTTACAGAATTGAGCTTTCGGGGATTTTGAACAAGTTTTCTAGGAACCTCGGAAAACCGGATCTTCAAGTAATAGCTTTTCCCTGGACACTTATGCAATTAGAAGTTTTCTGAACATACAGATTTGTAGAGCAAACATTTCTGATGAAAATAAGACCTCTCACAACTGTACTTGACCTTGCATCCAAAAGTTACAGGCATTTTCCTAGAAGTTCTAAAACTGAGCATTTCATACAGCGTTTTCTCTATATGGACGTTATACACGTTATATACCTGAAGTGTATTCCAAGATTTTTGATGGCACTTTGTCGTAGAGAGTTCATTCCGTTTTTGTTTAAAAGAGGAAAAGAAACTTCATGGGCTGAGAAGCGCCGATTTTTGAATTAGGTAATAGCTTTTTGTCAAATAGAGGATTTTTAGAAAACCCAGAAGGCTTTTTCGGGTTTTGGAGGTTGTTGGTTACCTGGAAAACCAATAAACGCTGGACTAAAAAATCGGCGCCTGTCAGTCCATGTAGTTAGGTGTCCAGTTTAAAAGAAAACAAATCCGAACTCTCCAGCTCGAAGTATATTAAAAAATCTTGGGGCACACTTCCGGGTCCTTTTTGAACCTTGATCTGTGGAAAAGTCCTAAACCGTAAGACTTGGAGACAACAAAAGATTTTTCATTCCTGTAACTCATTACACTGAACATTTACGGAAACTTTCGTCAAGATCGGATGTACGGCGTCGGAGATAACTTCTGAAGAGGGGGCTTAAGCTGAACATCTGGAGTTGAAGCGAATCGTTTTGAGGGAGACATCGATCTTTCTCGCTGCTTAAGACTCCGTGCGACATGTCAAAGCGCTTTCTTTCGACTGACCTCCTCTGCGACTTGATCATCTGGAAATTCCTCTTCATCTTCTTCGGCGCACTTCTGAATTGTGACCTTTTTCTGCCGATTAGGTTTGAGTCTGGAAAAATACGACCGTATTTGACCTTGTTTTAAAAACTCGTCGCTGTTGAATAAGAATGAACCATTAGCCGTGATAGCCTGCTCCATGAGGTCAGCGGCAGCCTCGGGCTTCCAACGGATGTTTTTCGCAATATCTTCGTCAAACGTTTCTGTCAGGAACTTACTTTGCTTCTTGTTTACTCTCACATTTTTTCATAGTGGTGGTAATGCTCATCCGGAAGGTGCAACTTGCATTTGTTGTGTATCAGTCTTGGTTGTGGGAGACGGGAAACGGAAAGTTCAGCACGGAAATTTCAGTACGGAATTTTCAGCACGGGAAAGATCAGCACGAGGAAAGATCAGCGAAAGTATTGATATTTCACATTTTGGGAGCAAAAGTCAAAATTGTGATTCTTGCAAAATGCCAAGAACAATATATTGTATATAATGTATACAATCTATGTTTGTAAACTGACATGGAGTGTGTATAGATCATGCCTGCAAATATAAATCTATATAAACCAAAAGCACGTTTGGATATAGATGGTTTCTCATATATAAAGGCTCGCTGTACGAATGAAAAAATATATTTTATTAATCATTTTTCTCAAAATTGTCACTCTCGTCTTCATAAATGATTACAATGATATATTACATGCGATAGAATCAAGTTGTTTTAAAACATCTGCATGCGGGTTAGAGATAATATTTAACAAACGTTTTTCAAAACGTTCGTTTCTTTTACTTTTCAATTTTTGTGAATATTATGCGCAAATATGGGGTCGTTTTGATATTGAGTTTGATAACCAAGTGACTAAATGTTATTATCAACAGATAAGATTAAGAATAGAAGTTCATATGTAATACTCACTTGAATTTGACGATGGATACTTTGTCTTAAATGAAAATAACATCCGGACAGGGCAATATGGGGAAAACTTGCATCCAAAACATTAATACATGCTTGTTCAAAATCAAGCATAAATGATCGAGGATACCAGCGTGGTGAAAATTCAACTATTTGGTTGATTAAACGTTGATACGTTACAGCATTTTTCCGACGTAATAGTGCATAAAGTACTGGGACAACGTGACCACGATATATACCGTGACCAATATATAACTGGTAGAAATTTCTGGAACAACCTAAAGCGATTATCGAAATACAATCTTTATTATTAAAATAAAGAATAAGCTACTTGGCATACCTTGAATGTCCCATCAACAAGAAAATCATTCACTGACTGTAAAATATCAAGCTGTTCTGTACTACCAAATACCATTATTCTATCATCACCTATGGTATCAACATAAAAAATAGCATAAGAAAATACATTATATGATGGATTCAGATGCCTTACCAGCCCCCGTATCACAACGTAAAAATTGATCTTGACGCAAAGTTTTTGTTAATGAAACTGGAACCGAAGCAAAATTTGGATCATTCGGTGCTGATGGTAAATTTTTATCTTGTCGTAACATCCGAATGCGTCGTTTTACGTGATCACGCGGTGGTACACGTGATAGAGACGGGTCCGACATCCCTGCCAAATAAATATATTGCATGCGACGTTCTTTTTATGACTTTAGGAGTCGTTTCAGGATTAAGTAGGTAAGTATGCACCAGGTACAGTTTGTACCAGTTAAGGGGGGGTCCCCCCATTTAGATTTTCCTCTAACGTTCCTAGTTTGTAGGGGATACTTCGAAGTATACGTTCTGAAGTTTTTTTAAAAATTAATTACTTAAAAAGACATTGCTAAATTTTTAAACAAAGGACTATTATCAAAAAAATTCCTGTCCATTCGTCATTCATCATAAAAACTTGATTCTTGCCTAGCTCGATAGAGAAATGTGTGGAGAATATTTACCACAAGAAAACGTGTAAAAAGTTTTGTTCTTTCCTTCCTGGACATTTCTAAGATCATCCAAAACTGGGCTTTTCTTTTTTTCTTTCTTTTCTCAAAATCTTTGTAGCTTTTCGTAATTACAAGATTTCTGCTCCATTTCAAAAGCTAAAAATTTCGGGTTGATCTTAAAATGTAGCGAAGACTTAGTTCTACAGCATACCAGAGCCTGATTTTCTTTTTTAACATTTTTTTCCAGGAAAATAACAAGTATCCGAAAAATGAAGAAAAGTTTCGCTAACTTTTTGGAAACTTTATTTTTTCCTGGTAAACAAAGACAAATATGAAAATCAGGCTCTGCTATGCTCTACAGCTAAGTCTTAGCTACATTTTAAGATCAACCCGAAGTTTTCTAGCTTCAATTATTATGCTGAGGACATGTCCCTTGTAACTGGTGCATGCCTATACGTACTATCAAAGGTTCTTTTGAAGAAACTTCCGAAATTCCAGTTACATACCTTTACAACAATATGTCACGATAAGATCCGGTGTTTCTTAAGTGTTAAGCGCACGATAAACGATTTGTTCGTCAAATTTACGAAGTTCAATTGCTGTACCATCAGTTTTACAACTAAGTTCAGTAGCAGGTTTCATAATATTGTTCGTAATAATACATGTATGAAGACGAGAGTGACAATTTTGAGAAGAATAATTAATACAACGCCAATATGTTTTTTCATTCGTAATGCGATCTTTTATATATGAGAAACCATCTATATCTAAACGTGCTTTTTGTTTTGTAGTACCGTTAATTGATATTGTAGCCATTTTGAGCAGGTGAGAAGTTTATGATAATAAGAGAAATGTTCCTTCATTTATTTATACTACTTCTATGTAGCGTTATCGAGACCGATTCACTTATAATCCCATTAGTAGAGTGTTAACTTAATTTCAATACTTATCTGTTAATCTCGTAATTAGCTTTA